CGCAGCTGCCTCTGGAAGGCACCGAGAGGTACAATAGTGCGCAAATGGTCGAAATCAAGGTTTTGTAACGCGAGCTGTGCCACAGTGAAATGGAAAATAAATAAATAAATAAAACGGACACCTCTACTAGGAGATGGGTAAAAAGGAACAGGTCCCCGCCCTTGCGATCTTTGTGCAGGGTTCTTTGTGGGTGTGGTCGGCGACTAGCCGGGGTCGTCCTCCCGATGGGGGACTAGCACTAGCCGTCTTCCACATGGTCCCTCGGGTCCCTGCTGCTCCTAATCTCTTCGTACATCCTCCTGCTGATCTCCGCAACGTCCTGCTCCCTCCCTCGTCTCGCCCTGCGCGCCTGCTCCGCCTCACCGTCGTCTGCCCTGCGTCGTCTGGCGACGGGTCCTCCATAGTCGGTTGAGGTCGCCGCCCTCCTCGTGCCTCTTCCCAACGTTCCCTCGGCGGTCGATGCCGTCTGGTCCGCCTCCGCCGTCCCCGAGTCTGACCTGCCCTCGTCTGCACTAGCTTCTGTTTCGTCATCACTGGCGCCTCTCCTCTTCTTTCGCCTCTTCTTGTATGCTTTGTACATTGCGTCGATTCCTTTTCGCGTGAGCACCACCCTGAAGCTCGCCCAGCAGCGGAACCGCTCCCTAAGTCGAAGGAGCATCATCAGTCTCACCCACTTCGCTCGCTGCCCACTGTCTCCGCTCCCTCCCGCTTGAGCTGCCGCCGCGGTCCTCGTTCGTCCCGCTGGCTGCTGGCCTGTCTGCACGTTGCCTCCGTTATCCCTCCTCCTCCGCGACTCCCTCAAGGCCGGGCGGGCCTCCTTCCACCCAGCGAAGAGCTTCCTCAGCCACTCGATGTGTTCCTCTCTCTTCATTATGCGCGCCGTAGCCTCATCATTGAGCTGTATCCACCTCTGCACCGCTCCCGTCGCCGCCTCGGCCACGACTTGCAGGTTCCTCGTGACCCCGGTGCCAAGGTCCCTTCGGCTCTTCTCCGAGAGGTCATCTACCAGTGCTGGCAACACCCCCCCGACTGCGGGGGCTAGTGTATCGTACCCGTCCTCGTCCAGCACCCTGTAGCGTGAGCCCTTCAGCGCAGCGACATGCGCCATCCTCAGCGTCTTCAGCGTATCCTTGGAGTCGGGTGCCGCCTGTGCCACTTTGCTGATCGCCGTCCCTGTCTGCGCTCGCGCTACTCTGAGGAACCATCTGGCCTGCTCCCTATTCCCCAGGCAGGCGCCGCTAAGCACGTGCGCCATTGTCGCTCTAGGCGGGTTCTCATCTTCCTCGGTCCATTGCTGCGCGGCTTTCCGCACGATCGGACACAGCGGGTCCCGCTTTAGTGCTGCCCTCCTCGCCGCGTCCCTCGCGGCCTTACAGTGAAATGGAACTAGCCAGAGCAAAAACCAAAATATGGCAGAGAACCATATTCAGACACGTCGTGCACACGTGACAGCGACTCTCATATAGGATGGGTGGACACGCACATGGGGGTGTCACATGCACATAAGATATCAGTGTCGAGGCGCCATTGACGGAGTCAGAGTCGGGGCGCGGGCGCACGGCGCCGCCCTAAAGAGGTCCTCCTCAAAAGGTCCAGACCTCGTCGAGGAGCTCCTGCACCCGCGATGAGGAGGCGCCCTCGCCCCCGCCGCCCGCCAGAACGGCCGGCAGCTCGGTCGCCAGCGCGGGCGGCGGAGCAACGGGCAGAGTTGCGCAGATCGCGACCCCGCTCCACGCTGCGGTGACGATGAGGGCGAGAGCGGCAACGCACGCCGACCGACGGGTCGAGGCCGGCGGCGCGGAGGCGCTGGCATGGCGGCTCATCTCGCGGGAGCATCCGGCGGTGCGGCAGGGCGCGAGGGGGGAGGAGGTGGCGGAGGAGACGGTGGAGGAGGCGGAGGAGGAGACAGAGGAGGAGGAGGCGGAGCAGGCTGCGGGGGACGATGAGGAGGAGGCCTCGCCGCCGCCACCATGGGCCTTGCGGCGGCCATTCGCGTCCGTCCTCGGGCTGATCTCGGGCGGGTTCTTGAGACTGTTGAGCGGCGGCTGCTGCCGCGGCGGGCGGTATACCTCGGGTATCTCTCGGGTATCTCTCGAGCGCTCTCGCGGCCGGCGGGCGAACGGTGCAGCGGCGCTGCGGAGGGCGAGCCTCTTGGAGCAAGCCGCCGCCTAGGAGCAGGCGGCAAGCCGGAAGCGTGGGGCTCGTACAGGCGCGGGGGCGAGAGGCGGAGCGAGAAGAGGCGGGACGCGAGGAAAGGCGAGGCAGCTCGGGGCCGCGCGCGAGGGCGTGAGCGCGTGAGTGCGTGGGTGCGTGGGTGCGTGAGTGCGTGAGGGCACGAGGGCGCGAGGGCGCGAGGGTGTGACGCGAGGGTGTGAAGGCGCGAGGGCGGGGACACGAGAGCGGCTCGCGCCTGCCGGACGCACGCCACGGCGGTCGCGGCAGCGATGCTCCCCTCTGCCGCTCGACGCGCCGCCCCAGCCAGCCCCTCCGGCCAAACCCGCCCCTCCGCGGAAGCAGCGCCGCCAGCCACCGCCGCCGCTGCCTCGCCAACATGCGTCGCGGCGGGCAAGTGCTTGAGTCCGAGCGCCTCGCCAAGCACAGCGATGGCGGCGGGCTCCATCGCCAGCTCGCGCATGTTCGCGCCGAAGGCGGCGCCTATAGAGCAGTCCGCCGCGTGGCTTGCCAGCCTCTCGCCACGCCCGCGTGCGCTGTGCGGAGAGGGCGGGGGGGGGAGGGTGGCGGCGGCCACGGGGGTGATGAGGGACGGGGTGGTAGCGGGGAGAGGTGGCGACAGCAGAGGTGGCGAGGGTGGCGACAGCAGAGGTGGCGAGGGTGGTGACGGCAGAGGCGGCGGTCGGCGCCCATGGATCGGAGCAGATGCACGTCAACCAGCTCCTCCTCCTCGAAGGTGGAGCGGAAACGGCCGAGGCCGAGCCGTTCGAGCAGCGCCGCCAGTTCGCCCGTGTCGCCGCCCGCCGCCTCGGGCGGACAGGCCTCGGGCGGACAGGCCTCGGGCGGACAGGCCTCGGGCGGACAGGCCTCGGGCGGACAGGCCTCGGGCGGACAGGCCTCGGGCAGACAAGCCTCGGGTAGAGGGGCCTCGGGTAGAGGGGCCTCAGGTAGTAGAGGGGGCGGGGCCTTGCGTGCCGCCGAGGGTGCAGCAGCGCTGACGGGCGCGTTCGAGCAGTCTGCGAGCGGCGGCCGGCGCGGGGCGCCAGGCGCGGCAGTGGAGGCCTTGGTGGCGGCCACGAGAGCGGCCGCCCCTGCCATGCCGGGTGCAGCGGCGACGCCCGCCTTATCGTTGAGGAACTCGACGGTGCGCCCCTCGAAGCCCGGCCGCATCAACGACGCGGCGCTGTCTGGCGGAGGAGCGGCCGCTGCCGCCGCGGCTGCAGTCGAGGCTGCTGAAGCCACCGAGGGCGGCACCGAGGGCGCGACTGCAGCCGCAGAGGGCGCGACTGCGGCCGCAGAGGGCGCGACCGCAGCCGGGTCGGAGCACTCGGACAGGCGCGCGGCGATGGCGCACGCGAAGGCGCGCCCCGCTGTGCCGAGGGGCCGCAGAGGCTTGTCGCCCGAGGCAGCCTCGACCAAGAGGCGAGTGCCGCCCCACGCCTGCTCTCCGGGCACAAGTGGGGTAAAGTCGAGCCACGTGCCCGCCGCGTCGTTCCACCAGTGCCGCAGCGCCAGCAGGGACGGGCCGTCGCAGGGGGCGGCCGCGCCCTCTATCTTCTGCCCCGCCGCCGCCACCTCGACGATGAGAAAACCCTTGACCACCTGCGGATCGCGCGCAGGAGCACGGTGCTGAGCCGACCCCGCACGCCGGCGGGTGGTATTACGCGCGCCGCTGCCTGGTAGCCTGTGGCAGCGCACACACGCTCGGCGTTGGAGAAGGAGTGTAGGGCCGCTGGCGCCACGAACCCAGCCGCTGCCAGAGCCGCTCGTTCAGAGTTGGACGGCGGCTGCACAGCGCGGCATCGCCGTCCACCCAGCGACTGGTTGAGCAGCCTCTGCAGCGACCGAGACCGCCACACCGCAGGCCACGGCTGTGGGAAGGCGAGAGATGCGAGGTCACTGTGCGTGATTGACGCATCGGCTCCGGCAAAGTCCGACGGCTCAGAGAGCCACCTTCCGACACACTCAGGCGTCGCGTCGGCGGCGGGCTCGTTCTCCGTCAGGTGAGGTCGCCACGGCGACATCGCGCGCTCGTCGCGGGGGGGGGCGGAAGTCCGGAAGCAATGGGCGGGTGGGCCGAATTCAATATTTCTTAAAAGAATTCTTGAGCCGCAAGACAGCACACTGGCACGATGTCAGGAGACGGAACACGGAGGAGCTGTATAGGTCACTAGAGACCCACACCATCGCTACATCACCACAACCACCAAGTCGGATACAAGTCGATGACAATGTGCGCGGCAGGACAAACCAAACATGAGACGGTTACACAAGGACGGTCAGGCTACGGTCAGGAAGTAGGTTTGAGTTCACACTCTCCAACACTCCCCCATTGTCTCCGCAGTCTTCATGAATGAGGATGCGGCAGACAACAACAGCAGAGTGTGAATGTGTCTGAGCGTAGGTATGCCGAGGTGGCGCGCGTAGATGCCCGACACACAGACGGCGCTAGAAGGCGGCGCGAGCCGCGTGTGGTCTAGTGGCTTGTGGTCAGCCGTGGTGTGCATATCGCGAAGGTTGCAGCCGGATCGTTTTGTCGGGGCCGGCGCGGTTGACGCTTCTTCTCGCCCCGTCCCTGCTGCAGGCAAGAAATCTATGGCGGCCAACGTTGCCGGCCTGAAGGCGGCCGAGACGGCAATCGCCTCTGCCGGCGGGACCACGTCCTCGGCGCCGGCGCCACCGCTGCCGGCCGGCTGCAGGGTGATGAGCATCGGCTTCTTCGTCAAGTGTGGGGAGCGCCCGCCCATGTCGGAACTGGGACGCGTCCACGACACGCGTCCACGATGCGTCCCCGTAGGTGCGAGGACAACCCGGACATGGTTTGGATGCGAGACAGCGACGTGTATTCGTGGGTCACAAGCTTGAAGGGCAGCGGCGCAGACGGCCTCACCGCTGAGACTGCTGGCCTCGTGCCTGTGGCAGGCAAGCGCAGCTTAGCGGCGTTCGTTCTCGCCGCGAGCGCGCTTGTCGCCTTGCCACTGTCGCTCCTCGTCCGGAGGCGCCGCTCGATTGCGATCCAGCCGGGGAGCATGGCAGCAGCCGGGGGAGGGATGCCAACTTCGACTGCAGCCCACCCGGGAAGCATGGAAGCAGCCGATGGCGGGCTTCCAACTTCGGTCGGCAAGGCGGCGCCGCAGACGCCAAGCGTTGCGACCGCAACATCCTCCTCGCGCGAAATGATCTGAAGGCGACAGATCTGTCAATGCCCATATATGTGCACATTTGCTGCCCATCGAAGGGCACTGGGCAGCCCGGGGGCGCCGCATGTGATGCGCGTGGCGTGCCCCAGCTCTCAATGCCCACACAACCAATATTAGTCCATTGCGTCGGGTATTTGTCTGATACGAGTGCGGGGGAGCTTGTTACAAAGAAGAGAAGCAAACGATCCCTGCTTTGCATACCCATGCGCCCTGACAGGTATATGGCGTCTAGGTCTGTAGCAATGCGCGCCGCGGCGAGCCGCTGGGCTGCAGGACGAGCAGCAGAATGCCGAACGCGCTGGGGCCTGGGCGGACACACTCGCCGCGAGATAGGTGAGCGACGTCCACCGACACGACGCCGCCGCACGGCGGCGCAGGCCGCCATGCATGCGCCACCAACACAGACATAAGCTGGACTCATCATGCTTGAGCGGCTGGTGGCGCGGGCTGATCTATCTCAGTGGCTGCTCCCGATGTGTCAAAGAACCTCGCGTAGAAGGACGGCACGTTGAAGCCGGCGGCGACGGCCGGCACCACCTGCGGCGGCGAGGGCGCCTTTGGGCTGCGCGGAGGGCTGGACACGGGAGGCGACGCAAACAACGCACCCAGAAAAGGCACGTGCCTTGTCTCCGATCGCTTCGGAAGCGCAGATCTCCGTACGAGATGGGGCGCTCGCGCTCGTCGTCCGCCATTTTTTTTTTGGCGCTGTGCCGCTGCTCGGGCGCGCGGGTGCGCGTGCGCGTGCGCGTGCGCTGCTGCAAGGCGAGGCAGCGGCAGCGGCAGCGCCCAAAAAAATAATGGAATGTGGCCCGTGTCGTGCAAAAAAAGAAAATGGCCCGTCATCAGCGGAGCTGGGAATAGGACCGCCGCGAGCCGCGTGGCGTGGAGCGGTTGGGCATGACGTCGGGGGGCCCTCTGCGCCGGGGAGGCGTTGTCGGCATTGGGGATATGCACCTGTCCAGCAGGGTGTGTGTGGGTGAGGTCTGAGGAGCAGATCGACAGGCAATTCGCCGCAGTAATAATCGAGAATGACGTCGGCCTGGGCCCCTGTATTGGCGCAGGCATGTCCGACTACCTACTACCAGTACACCTATACACGTCGCTGCCGGTCATTTGATCTGCGCGAGTCGTCTTGCCCGTGCAACCTGCCCCGTGAACACGTGCACCTCAGGAACCTGCCAGGTCGCACCGACTGAGGCCGCCATAATCCGTCACTTTGGCCCGTCGCCAAGGCGGCGGTCGTCAGAGAGATGCCACGTCGACCGGGCTGTCACTTCGAAGCGACTGCTGCTTGGAAGTTTCCAAAGACCGTCATTTGGAAGCCGTCAGCTGCGCGAACTTTCCCGAGGTGTACCTCGGCGAGATGAGGCGAGGTGAGGCGAGATGAGGCGAGCGGGTGAGGCGAGATGAGGCGAGGTGTGAGGCGAGATGAGGCGAGGTGAGGCGAGATGAAGCGAGGTGAGGCGAGATGAAGCGAGGTGAGGCGAGATGAGGCGAGATGAGGCGAGACTAGGAGGCGAGATGAAGCGGGATGTTGTGTGGCTGCTTGTGCTGCCAAGCAGGCAGCACAAGCAGCCATACAAGTGAGCTTTGGGGTCGTGTGGCTGCTTGTGCTGCCTGCTCATGAGCAGGCAGCACAAGCAGCCACACAAGTCAGCTTTGGGAGCTCTCGGCGACGCCCAATGCGTGCGCCGGTAGGGGGGAGTGTGTGCGCGCGTGTGTGAGATGAGGATTGTGGCAGGCTGGCTGCTGCTGATGTGGGCAAGTGTGCTCTGTGTGCGGCGCTGCGCTGGCGTGCGACGCGCGCGTGCTGTGTACGTGTGCGTGCTGCGGTCGCGCGCGCGTCTGTGTGTGCTGCGCGCGCGCCGCCGGTGTGTGCTGTGCGCTGTGCTCTGTTTTGCGCCCTGTTTGTGCAGCTGGGAGGCGCAGGCTTGGCTGGCAGGGCTGCGCGGTGGGCTGCGGCGTGCTGCGGGTGGTCGCGCGCCTGCCTGATGGTGTACGGCGGCCGCGCAGCCCGCCCGACCGGGTCGTCGGCGGCCCAGGGCGCGAGCATGCGGTCGGCGCTGCATGTGAGGCTGCTGCGCGGCTGGCGCGTATGTTTCCGTGCGGCGAGGGACGCGCGTATGTGTTCACGCTGCGGGCGCGGGCGGGCGCGGGGGGCGGCGCGGTCTCACCGCGGTCCGACGTCGGTTGGTCTTCGGCGTGGCGAGGGTGGGCGCGCAAAGAGGCCTTGCCGCCATCGCGTTGCCGCGAAGGAAAAAGAATGTGGCGCCCCCTCAGATGTTTGGGCATTGATTGGGGTGCGCGCACGGTATTGAAAGCGGTCGCACTTGAATGCTCGCCTTGCTCGCCCTCGCTCTGCCCACTGCCACCGCCGCGCACAGACACCACCTAGCTGTAGTTCCCAGCCGGCGTGAGTTGCCCGCCCTTCGGGCCGGAGCACCCGTTGCGGCTGGGCCAACCGCAGTACAGCTGCCGGCGGGCTGCTGCCGCCTGCTGCTGGCTGGCGCTCAACGCCTGGCATGGCGAGAAGAGCCGCCGCGGTTGCCACCGACGGGCGCAGAGCGTGCCGGCGGAGCGGCGCGTCGGCGAGGCCGCGAGCAAAACGATCCGCGCCGCGTGCTCCTCGGGCTCCAAGCAGCCGAGGCTGCCGAGGAGGCCGAGGAGGCCGAGGAGGCCGAGGAGGCCGAGGAGGCCGAGGAGGCCGAGGAGGCCCCCCCCTCCCCCCCGGGGTCTCGAACCCGGGACCACGCGATGCTCGGGCGAGACGCGTGCGCACGTGCAGCGCTGGACAGGGCGGCCCGCAGCGGCGCTCTGGCTCATATACGGTGGATTTTATTTAATTGTTTGCTGTCATCGCTGGCGCCTCTGGGTGGAGTGAGGTGGTGGATAGGGTGGGCGCTCGCAACCGTGGCGAGTGTCGCCCTAGCCGTGCGTCACGGGAGGATGGGCCGAGGAAGGCCACCGCGCACGTCGGCCCCACGACACAGTGACATAGTGACAGGAGCAGCACCACCACCAGCTGCAGAGCCAGAGGCGCCTCACAGCCCCGGTCGCGCAAAACCAGAGGACCCCCCGCACAGAGAGAAAAGAAGCGAAAAAGCCAGACGGCGCGCCCGAAAAAGAAAACGCGGGAGACGGCGCCCAGCGCCAAGGGGACGCGAAGCATGGACGGGGGCAGAGATCGCCGCCCTCCCGATCCGCGCAAAAAAGAGGAGGGTGTGGGCGTGGAAGCGACACCGACGGAATGTGCGGCGGAAGGGGCGAGGGAAGCTCGACCCAGACCTGGACTTCTACGGTCACGGACACCATAACCGAAAGAAAGAGAGGGGAGCTCGCGGGAGAGGTGACGAGTGAACTACAGGTAGTGGGGAAGGCAGCCTCGATGGCCATACAGACATGGGTGCGAAACAACGACAAGACCAAGGCACGGGCAGAGGAACGAGAGAAGAATATAGAGTGGATAAAGCGCCTGTTCACGGCATGGAGGGTAAGCCACGCCGAACGCAAGGAAGCCGGGGAAGACGACCCCGAGGAGGACGAAACAAAAGTGGAAATCCCGCCGTCAGCTGTCACAATATACCCGAAGGGAACCCCAGTGCCAACACCGACCATTGAGGTACAAGTGCTCGAAACGAGAGTGGACCTGAGCAACGACATGACAGGGCGGGATATGCTCGCAGTGGGAGTCAGAAATGTGGTCCTTGCGCGAGGAATGCTCGATAAACTCGAGGGACCAAAATACGCGGAGAGGAGAGCGGAGTTACGCAGAAAGGCGAGAGAAGCAGCGAGAGCAAGAGATCGGCAGACGACAGCGGCGTCTCAGAACGAGGCCGAGGAGAGCGATGAGTCAGGGGAAGAGACAGCAGGAGAGAGAACGACGAGAGTGAGAAGAATGCGAGGTGGCATGAAGGTCGCTGCAAGAATTGGTGATAAACTGCGGAGAGAGATAGGAAGTGGTAGACGCCCGAGGGTGGGCGACGGCTAACACCACACTTCTCCCCTAAAATCCCTGTGTGGTGGCGGCGTACCGTCCTCCCATCCCTCCCTTGGGTTGCCTGTTTTCTTTCTTTCTTTTATTGATTGGGGTCGGGAAACGTGGGTTGTCTCTCACTCATGTGGTCATGATATTGTCTAATGGATGGTCTATAGTCGAGGTCTATAGCTAGAAAAACGCATCACACAAGCGCCCACAGACCGGCGCCACGCTCATACCCACCTCGCACGGCAGCCCGCAGTCGCCGAGCACGCTCGCAGTCTCGCTCTCAGTCTCGCTCTCGGCTCAGTCTCGCAGAGACGCAGTCGTGCGTCGCGGTGCCGCCATTTTTGCAGAAAGAATTTTGCAGAAAGAAGAGAAATCCTAAGCAGAAATGGCGGAGCAACACCCTGTCTCAGATGTGCACCCTGTCTCAGACGCGCGCGTGAACAGGTTTTGGCGCCTGTGTCATCGTCCGAATCCCCAATCCCCTCCGCGCGCAACCGACTGCGAAGCTACATCTACAACAGGCTCCCGGGGCTCTCCAGGGACCAGGCCCCAAGAGCCAAGTGTGACGGAGTGCTGTTAGAGATTTTGTTTGGTATTGAAAGTCTCTCTCATCATGCAGAGTTTCGAGAGTCAATCCATAGCCTTGAACTGCACCAAGAACCAGTTGAAGGGAAGCTTGTGCTCCTCCACGCGAGGCACACCTGCCGAGTCCGGAGGCACAGTGGCGGTAAGGTGCTAGGATCACCCACCGGAAGCTATGTGGTGCCGAAGGATGCGAAACGCGACTGTCGGCGCAACTACACTCTCGCCTCCGCTTACATCAAGGCCACGCGGCGAGGGAAGGGCGATGGCCGCTTCAGGTGCGCCCGGTTTTGTGAGAAACTTGAGCGCCGCCTTCGCTTCGTCAGCCGAGAGCCCGCCATTGTTGTCCGCGTCAAAGTGCCGATAGAGCACCTCGGCGTAGAAGCGGCTGAACAGTTTGATGGAGAGGACCTTGCCTCGCTCTGCGAACATGCGGAGGCGCGCGTGGTGGGCAGAGCATCGCACAACCGGGGCAAGTGCGGATTGCCCCTCCGCTCACATAAACGCACAACCCCGGGCCCGAAATCGCAGAGAGACAGTCACGCAACACGCTCACCCGAATGGTCAGGGTTGTCTTCGGCGTGCGCGGCAAACAGCTCCGGGATGGCTTCCTTAGCGTGCTTGGCCAGCTGCTGCTGGTGGCCGTCGTTTGCGAACTCCTTCTCAAATCCGGCCATGACCTGCCGGCCATCAGCAGCAGCAGTTGGGATCACATGGGAGGCGGTTGCCGGTCATCATAGGGAGCGTCAGCGAGTTGAGCTGGGGTCGCATGGGAAGGGGTGGCGACAGAACAGTGGCCGCTGGCGGAGTGTGCGGGTGACTCGAGCCTCTTCCAATGTGAGGCTCAAATCTGAGTTGGTGTCGAGCTGTTTGAAGAGGTGGCGGACGCGCCCAGGCGGCATGCTCCGGTTGGCAGGCTGGATCAGCGTCGCCGATGCCGCTTATGCAGATCAGGGGCAGGGGAAGATCCCATTGAGAACGCGACGCGAAGCCGTCCGGCCGCGAGGTTTACGGTGCGACGAACCGACGATGTCGGCCGGGCACCAGCTGATGATGGTGCAGGTGCCGGCGGGAATGTCGGGTGGTCAGACACTGCAGGTGCAAACACCTGCGGGGCTGATGTCGGTGCAGATCCCTCCGGGCCTGACCGCGGGCCAGTCATTCCAAATGAAGGTTCCTCTTCCGCCTCAACAGACGCAGCCCGCCATTGCGCAACCAGTGCATGC